GCTTTGTTGTCCAGACTTGAGTGCAGTGGCACAATCTCAGCTCACTGCAACCTCTGCCTCTTGGGTTCAAGCGATTCTCCTGTCTCAGCCTCCTGAGTAGCTGGGACTCCAGGCACATGCTACCATGCCAGCCAATTTTCATATTTTTAGTAGAGATCGGGTTTCACCATATTGGTCAAGCTGGTCTTGAACTCCTGACCTTAGGTGATCCACCCACCTTGGCCTCCCAAAGTGCTGGGATTACAGGTGTGAGCCAGCGTGCCCGGCCCCCAGTTAATTTTTTTTTTTTTTTTTTTATTGTATGTAGAGACAGGGTCTTACTATGTTGCCCAGGCTAGTCTTAAACTGGGCTCAAGCAATCCTTCTGCCTTGGCCTCCCAAAGGGACTGGGATTACAGGTGTGAGCCATCCCACCTGGCCAATTTTACATTTGTCTTTGAGATTATATGATCAATGTTTGACCCTCACACTGGCGTGTCAACTCCATCAGATCAGAAACCACAAATTTGTCTGTTTTTTTTATCTTCGTGCCCCATTACTTGGCTGGTTTCTAACACAAAATGGATGTGCAACAAACAAATGAATGAGGAGCTCTAAGGGGCCTTGAGCCCTCTGACACTTCCATTGTATAATTGTGGACAGAGCCCCTAGGGCACAAAGCTGAGCTGGACCATCCAATGTTTAGCCAGTGCCCATGTGCTAGGAGACACTGGGAGCTGTGCTGGGCTTCTGAGGCATGGGCAGAGGCTAGAATACCCATTGTTGGTCAGTCCCCTGTGTCACGCAGACTGGGGAGGTGCAGAAATGCAAATTACAGAGCTGTGAGGACCCAGAACCTCATTAATGAGCTTAACTCGCTGTCCTGCCCAGGTAGCCTCTCAAACAAAGCCTTGCTGGGAAGGAGGCTTTAAGGTCCGGGGGGGCGGGGGGGAGTGGGGCAGCGGTGCTGGTAGTGGTCATCAAAGAAAGTGGGAGTTGGGGAGGAAGGAATGGGGAGCAGGAGTCAAAGAAGGCCAGACAAACTCAGACCTTCAGGTGATGAGACTCAGGAGCCCTAAGTCAGGAACAGTGCTTGAGGACATCTTTGCCCCATAACAGAACTTCCTCCTAAGCAAAGGTCTTGCAGAGACTGGTCCTGCTGAGTGCTTTTAACAGGTCATTGCTTTATAAAAATTGGAGAAAAGGTCTGCCACACCTAACAGCCTTCTGTTTAGAGCTGGTTTAGAGGAAAGTTTAAGCAAGTCTTGTGTCTCTCATTTTGGGCCTGAGGCAGGGTACGGGTAAGGAACAGACAGGAGGCACGGAGGCAAGAACCAGACTTCGGCTGAAAGAGAAATCAGAACCAGAGGTGGCCATGAGGACACCCGACCCACGGGAACTCGTGCAGGTGGACAGCCCAGGACTTTTCCTGAGTGGGGAGCAAGAAGCATCTTATATAGGTTTTAAGGAGCAGGTTGCCCCGGGGTGACATCTAGGCTACAGCCACTGGGCCAGGTGGAAGGTTGCTCAGTCCCTCTCAAAAGTCATGAAAGGCCGGATGCAGTGGCTCACGCCTGTAATCCCAGCACTTTGGGAGGCTGAAGCAGGCGATCACTTGAAGCCAAGAATTTGAGACCAGCCTGGCCAACATGGTGAAAACCTGTCTCTACTAAAAATACAAAAAATTAGCCAGGCGTGGTGGCCAGTGCCCGTAATCCCAGCTACTTGGGAGGCTGATGTATAAGACTCACTTGAACTCAGGAGGCAGAGGTGGTAGTGAGCCGAGATTGTGCCACTGCACTCCAGCCTGGGCGACAGACGGAGACCCTGTCTCAAAAGAAAGAAAGAAAGAAAGAAAGAAAGAAAGAAGAAAGAAAGAAAGAAAGAAAGAAAGAAAGAAAGAAAGAAAGAAAAGCCAGGCATAGTAGTTCATGCCTATAATCCCAGCACTTAGGGAGGCTGAGGCAGGTGGATCACCTAAGGTCAGGAGTTCAAGACCAGCCTGGCCAACATGGTGAAACTCCATCTCTACTAAAAATACAAAAATTAGCCAGGTATGATGGTAGGTGCCTATAATCCCAGCTACTAGGGAGGCTGAGGCAGGAGAATTGCTTGAACCTGGGAGGCAGAGGTTACCATGAGCCAAGATTGGGCCATTGTACTCCAGCCTGGCGACAAAGCAAGACTCCATCTCAAAAAAAAAAAAAAGGAACAAAAAAGTCATGAGAGTCCTTGGAGTTCTCAAGAAAGGCTTCTGCGGGCCTGTCTCTGGAGAGAAAAGAAAAGCAGAGAACTGTTGAGAAAATACCAAATGTTTTTATGTCCCAGCCAGGCATGGGGGAGAGGCTGACCCCAAAAGAGAAAGTGGTGGTGTGAGGTTTTGAGGAAGATGTCTCCCAGGGCCTGTAGACAAAGGAAGGGTCCGGCCAGGCGCGGTGGCTCACGCCTGTCATCCCAGCACTTTGGGAGGCTGAGGCAGGCAGATCACCTGAGGCTAGGAGTTCCAGTACAGCCTGGCCAACATGGCAAAACCCCGTCTCTACTAAAAATACAAAAATTAGCTGAGCGTGGTGGCATGCACCTGCAATCCCAATTACTCAAGAGGCTGAGGCACGAGAACTGCTTGAGCCTAGGAGATGGAGGAGGCAGCGAGCCAAGATCGCACCATGGCACTCCAGCCTGGGTGACAGAGTGAGATGGGGTGGGGGCGGAAAGGAAGGGTCCCGTCCAGGGAGCCAGCCTTGGATGGGGAAGGCTCACCAGAAGTGGATGCAAAGAGCACTGGAGATGAGCTCATTCTATTTGCACAGGAAAGAAAAAGGCCCAGAAACCTGCTTTCCTCCTCTTAGCCGGGGTCCTCCAGGAGAGCCAAGCAGACCCTGCTTCTGCTGTGACCCCCTGGAGAAGAGATATATAGGAGAAAGGAGATGGCCTTTGGCCCAGAGGACAGAGGCCTTAGGCGAGTGAGCAGTTCCCAGCTGGCTCAAGGTGGCTAGGCTGGAACTCCAAGTCTCTGTTCTACAGATTTCTTCCTAAAGGTCCCCGGTTCCTCATCGTTCTCCTGAGGGTCTCATCCATCCTCCTAGGGCCTGCTGTCAGCTAGCCACCCACTGCCCCATGCCTGCCTTGAGGCTTAAGACTAGCCGAGAAGACATTTACCACAGCCTGGAAATGGCTGGCGACAGAAAAGTCCTCAGGCCGCCACACAGCACTCTCTGCGGTGGGAATTCGGGCACCCTGCCTGATGGTGAAAAAAGTGGTTTTGCATAAACAGCTCTCTAAATCACACCCAGATGTGGCTTCCGACTTGAGTAGACCCCCAAGAAGAGCTGCACAGGGGGCTGGGAAAAGACAAGAGAATGGAGAAAATGAAGAGAAAGGAAACTACAGAGTGAGATAGAGAACCGATCTGACAGGTGTGACCACAGCAGTGTGACATTTATGAGCAGTGTGAAAACAACTGCAAAGCCCCTGAATGAAAAACTTCCTGGGGAAATAAGCCACTCCGTATCTCCGTCACCAAGGAAAGAGTGGAGGAGGCTGCTGACCCACGTGTGTTCCCAGGACTCAAAGAAAGAAAAGTCTAGCTGTTTCCGATATCCCCAAATCAGTCTTGCTGGGAGAACTGGGCAAGTAAAAAAGAGATGACCCCTGTCAGAAGCTACCTTTAATCCCAAGTGCCCAAGGCTGGGAGAGAAGATGCCCCAGGTGATCCAGGACACCAGTGACTGGCACAGCCAGAGGTGGGCAGGGGAGGAGAAAGATGGTACAGAGGTGAGGCAGCAAGGGTCTGAGAGGGAAGGCCAGGTGGGCAGTGGGTGGCTGTTGAGAAACATTAAGTTGACCCTGCCCCCATGCTCCCTTGTGGAGAATACCCCTTCGTTTGCAGTTAGTGTTAAGCGGGTAACAGCTGCCTACTTGGAATATTTCTGAGTTATGAGGAAATACAGAACACCTGTTTATTAATAAGAATCACCTGTTAAGAGAGAATAAACACCTGGATCAAAATCTGCTCAGGGCCTTCAGCCTGGAATGCTGTCGGCCCCCGAGGCTCTCAGCTCAGGAGGCCGTTCGTCCCCCACCCCCCCAGATAGACCCGCTTTGCTGTTGTCTGGCTGTCTCCCTCTCATTGCCTTCCGCACCGCCTGGGTGGGGGTCTCCCGGCCGAGCTGGTACTCGGTAGGTGGCACCCACATCAGAGGCTGGCAGAAGGATTGAAGGAGAGCATATGTGATCTGCAGGAGGGTGACGGAAGAGAGGCAGGCCTAGGCCCCTTGTCTGCAGTTCTGAGCAATTCTATAGCAAACGTGTTGGGTCATCAAACCAGACCTCAACTGAGACAAGGCTATTTGAGGTTCATCCCACTTGGCGTAAATATTCAATAGTTTTGCTGCAGAAACTGTTTGGTTTGATTATGAGGCTACTCAACTCCTCCAGGGGTGTTTTGTGGTGCTCGTTTCTGTATAAACCTGAAAAATTCTGAATTCCAAAACTTATCTGACCCCCAAAATTTCAGGTGAGAGCTTGTGGACCTGTGCTCAATTCTGGTTCTCCTTCCTTCTTTCAACTGTTGTCTGAGAAAGGAGGGATGTGGGTACGGGCAACAGGAGACAGGTGGATTCATTTGTAAACTGTGGATGGGGGCAGGTAATGTGGGCACCTTTGTGCACACGTGCATACATAGGAGGGGTGGGCGACTGCGTGCATCCATCATCTTTTTGTCACAGAAGCAGGAGTAGGTGGGTTACAGGCTTCATGAGCAGGAGAGGCGGAAGCTAAGGGAGGCTCGTGTGTCAGAGGAGGCATGTTTAAAAAGCAGCAGGTCTCACAGAGCTTGCCCTTAATACTCTCCCCAACACACGGAAGGAGGAAGGGGGTGGAGGTTGCTGCTATGAGAGAAAAAAAAAAAACACCACAACAGAGCTTCTGCCTTCAAAGGTTGGCTTGCCACCTGAAGCAGCCACTGCCCAGGGGTGGCAAAGGAGAGACAGCAGCGCCCAGCTTGGAGGTGCTAACTGCAGAGGCCAGCGGTCAGCAACTGGGCACAGAAGGAGCTCCCTGGGCAGGAACCATGGCACTGGCCACATCCCTGGTGGCTGTGTATTCTGGGGACCCTGGTGGGGCTCTCAGCTACTCCAGCCCCCAAGAGCTGCCCAGAGAGGCACTACTGGGCTCGGGGAAATCTGTGCTGCCAGATGTGTGCACCAGGTAAGAGGGGCCTTGGCAGGTGAGTGCCAACCGAGAGAGGACTGGGGCCAATTCAGTAAATAGGCACAGGGTGAGACTGGGCTCAAGCAAGGGGAGAAATCCTGCAGCTTCAGGGAGGACAGAGACTCGGCCCTTCTCGGGCCTTGATCCCTTACCCTCTGCTCCCAGGAACATTCCTTGTGAAGGACTGTGACCAGCACAGGAAGGCTGCTCAGTGTGACCCTTGCATGCCCGGGGTCTCCTTCTCTCCAGACCACCACACCCGGCCCCACTGTGAGAGCTGTCGGCATTGTAACTCTGGTGAGGTGGGCAAGGGTGTGTGGGTGGGGACACTGGACAAGCATTTGGGGGAGCAAGACTGGTGATGGATTTGGCGGGGCAAGGAGGATGAGGGGGTCAAAGCTTCAGCCTTCTTCAGGGCTCACAGCAAGTGGAGCCAATGCTGGGAAACGGGGCACCCTAGGTGGGGTATGAATTAACGTGGGCAGAAATCTAGTATTTCAGGGAAAGGGATAAATAGAATTGGGGGATTGGTGAGAAGGCGTCTATGGATAGGATCAAGACAATCAAATGAGGGGAGTGGCTCTATGACCCCAGATTGCAGACCAGCAACCCCCAACCCATAAGCTGGCTGTGTTCCCAGAGCACACATGTGTAGGTTGGCGCTTGGGAATTTGGGACACATCTTTCTAAGGAAACAGCAAAATAAGCCAGTAGGTAACAACCTTTTTTGCACAAAAGCCAATTTGAGAAAATGAGTGTGTATGTGGCCCGTGTTTTTATTTTACAGTTCCATGTTTTTTTTAACTAAGAAGTATAATATCTGCAGCAGCGCTTACGAATGCTATGATTGTTTGTCCATCTTTGCTACAATTTCAGAAGCTACGGCCAGTATACGCTAGAATTGCAGACTTTAAAGTGCCCCCTTTGAACAAGTGTCTTCTAGCAAGACACTTTTTAGAACTAGGTAACTGTAACTACTAAACTACCTACTTGCAAAACGTGTTTGGTGTCACTAGGTCTGTTGAAACTGCATTTTGTTTTGTTTTGTTTAGAGACAAGGTCTAGTTCTGTCACCCAGGCTGGAGTGCAGGGGCGCAATCAGAGGTCACCACAGCCTTGAACTCCTGGGCTCAAGTGATCTTCTTGTCTCAGCCTCTCAAAGTACCGGAATTATAGGCGTGAGCTACAGTGCCTGGTCCAGTAAAAACAAAAACAAAAACCAAGGCTGGGCGTGGTGGTTCATGCCTGTAATCCCAGCACTTTGGGAGGCCAAGGCAGGAGGATCGCTTGAGCCCAGGAGTTTGAGACCAGCTGGGCAACATGGCAAGACCCTGGCTCTAAAAAAATTGGCTGATCGTGGTGGTGAACCTATAGCCCCAGCTACTTGGGAGGCTGAGATGGGAAGATCACTTGAGCCCAGGAGGTCTAGGGAGTGAGCTATGATCCCACCGCTGCACTCCAGCCTGGGTAACAGAGCAAAACCCTCTGTCACACACACAAAAAAAGAGGCGGTCCAGTGGTTCACACTTGTAATTCCAGCACTTTAGGAGGCCAAGGCAGGCAGATCCCTTGAGCCCAGGAGTTAGAGACCAGCCCGGGCAACATGGCAAAACCCTGTCTCTACTAAAAATACAAAAAGTTAGCCAGGCGTGGTGGTGCACACCTGTAGTCCCAGGTACTGAGAAAGCTGAAATGAGATCACTTGAGCCAGGAAGTGGAGGCTGCAGTGAGCCGTGATTGCACCCCTGTACTCTATCTTGGGTGACTGAGTGAGCAGAGTGAGACCCTGCCTCAAAAAAAGAAAGAAAGAAAGAAAGAAAACAAAAGCTTTTCCATTGCAAATAAACCAAAGAGCAACATACTTAATACACAAGAAATATTCTCCAGTCTACTTAACTTAAAAACATGACTGTAATAGATGCTTTTCTCTTGCCAGCAGCCCCTGCAGGGTTGGAATTTTTCTTAGTGAAAACTTCCCTACTCACTCTGCAGACCCTGCCTGAAGGTCTTCGCCCCCTACTGAACCCATCCTTAGTCCCTTCACTTGTTCCAGACTGGCCCAATCCATGACCCTTCTCTGGGAGCTCAGCCAATAGACCCCAAAGTACCACAGCAGCATGTGGCTGCAGAAGGACCCCAGGGGATTGCGGCCAGGGGCGAGAAGACAGGTGGGCTGAATGAGTTTGGCCCTCTCTGGGCCTCAGTGCTGGTATCTGTGAGATGAGGAAGTGTCTGAAGTCAGCCTGAATTTTTTTTTTTTTTTTTTTAGACAGAGTTTCACTCTTGTTGCCCAGGCTGGAGTGCAATGGTACGATCTCTGCTCACCGCAGTCTCCGCCTCCCAGGTTCAAGTGATTCTCCTGCCTCAACCTCCTGAGTAGCTGGGATTACAGGCATGTGCCACCACATCCAGCTAATTTTTTGTATTTTCTTTTTTTAAATAGAGATGAAGTTTTCTCCCTGTTGGTCAGGCTGGTCTTGAACTCCCAACCTCAGGTGATCTGCCCGCCTCAGCCTCCCAAAGTGCTGGGATTACAGATGCGAGCCTGAGTGGGGCCCAGCCTGGAATTTTGAGCTCAGGCTATACCTGGTAAATAGAACCCCCAGGTCTCCAGATACTCACCGCTGAAGCAATGGCACCTCACTGTTTTCAACCCTCTCCAAGCCCTTCTTTAACCCTTCCATTTCCCTTTTAGCAGAGACCCTCGTCATCACTCCTCCCTACCACCAACGCTCTCCCTCCCGCACTGTCCCAGGCTTCCTCATTCTTCCCTTGCAGGTCCTTATCCAACCTGGCTCACAATCCCCGGGAAGCCACAAGGAAACCAAATTGTAGTAGCAACTCAGAGTCAGCATTCATTAGGAGGTCACAGGACCATAAGCATGCCAAGAAGGAATTTGTCCCTCTCCCTGTCCTGACAAAAGGCATAAGTGGAAGAAAACTGTTAGACTGGGTTATGATCTTTGACACCCTGCCTTTCTGCGCCCTCTTCCACCTGTCAGGACTCCTAGGACTCCCCGGGTCTGGACAAGCATCTGCCCTAAGGCCCACCAGGCTCCCTTGCAGCCTGTCCCACACCTGGGTGTCACTGTCTTCCTCTCAATCACCCTCCTCTCAAACCAGCTGCCAGTGAGCCCAGCCCAGCCCAGCTAGTGCCCTACCACCTCCACCCCCAGGATAATTAAGACCAGCATCAGACCCCTACACTTGAGCAAAATGTATATTTTAAAGGCAAAGTCTCACTCCTGTAATCCCAGCACTTTGGGAGGCCGAGGTGGGCTGATTACAATGTCAGGAGATTGAGACCATCCTGGCTAATACAGTGAAACGCTGTCTCTGCTAAAAATACAAAAAATTAGCTGGGCGTGGTGGCACATGCCTGTAATCCCAGCTACTCGAGGGGCTGAGGCAGGAGAATCGCTTGAACCCAGGAGGCAGAGGTTGCAGTGAGCCAAAATCACTCCACTGCACTCCAGCCTGGGCAACAGAGCGAGACTCCATCTCAAAAAAAAAAAAAAAAAAAAAGGCAAAGTAACTGTTTATTTATTTTAATGTAGTCATAGGTTCTGCAGCCATCAGCACTATCTAATTCTATAACACTTTCATCACCTCAAAGAAACCCATACCCCATACCCCTTAGCAATTACTCCCCATCTCTTCCCACCATCCTCGTCCCCATCTCCAGTCCCTGGAAATCTCTAATGTACTTTGTTTTTTGTTGGTGGTGTTTGAGACAGGGTTTCACTCTGTCACCCAGACTGGAGTGGAGTGTCATAATCTCAGCTCACTGCAACCTTTGCCTCATGGACTCAAGCGATCCTCCCACCTCGGCCTCCCCAGTAGCTGGGACTACAGGCATGTGCCACCATGCCCAGCTAATTTTTGTATTTTTTGTAGAGATGGGGTTTCACTATGTTGGCCAGGCTGGTCTTGAATTCCTGAGCTCAAATAATCCACTCACCTCAGCCTCCCAAAGTGCTGAGATTACAGACGTGAGCCACTGCACCTGGCTATTTTCTATTTCTTTAACTGGCGCTGGTTATGCCTGTGAGCCAAATTTGTACAAATTCTTCAGCTTTATCCTCGTGTGCCTCTTTGTATATATATCATACTTCAATGAAAAGTTATTTTAGTATCAGTAGGCTCAATGGCTCACGCCTGTAATCCTAGCACTTTGGGAGGCTGAGGTGGGTGAAATCACCTGAGGTCAGGAGTTTGAGACCAGCCTGGCCAACATGGTGCAAACCTGTTGCTACTAAAAATATAAGAAATTAGCCGCGGGTGGTGGCGGGCACCTGTAATCCCAGCTACTCAAGAGGCTAAGGCAGGAGAATTGCTTGAACTCAAGAGGTGGAGGTTGCAGTGAGCCAAAGCCGTGCTACTGCACTCCAGCCTGGGCAACAAGAGTGAGACTCCACCTCAAAAAACAAAAATAAAAATAGGCCGGCTGTGGTGGCTCATGCCTGTAATGCAAGCACTTTGGAGGCCAAGGCGGGCGGATCACCTGAGGTCGGGAGTTCAAGACCAGCCTGACCAACATGGTGAAACCCCATCTTTATTATAAAAAATTAAATTAAATTAAATTAAAAATTTAAAAAGTAGGTCAGGCACGGTGGCTGACGCCTGTAATCCCAGCACTTTGGGAGGCAGAGGAAGGTGGATCACTTGAGGCCAGGAGTTCGAGACAAGCCTGGCCAACATGGTGAAACCCTGCCTCAAAAAAAAAAAAAAAAGAAAGAAAGAAAGAAAAAAGAAAAAAAGTATCGGGAGCATAGGAGAAATGTATGTAAGCTCCTTCTACTTTTCATAGTTTCTATGTCTGAACTGATGAATCTTCCTTCCAAAAGATCCAACTTTCTTCTTTAATAACAATAACAATGGCAAAGGCATTGGGGGACAGGGGTGGGAGTGGAAAAGGGAAGCGCATCCCTAGAGGTAGGCCTGAGATGGGGGATGCAGGACAAAGCAAGTGGACCTCGAAGGTCTCCACAGGCCTGCTGTCCTAGGCTCCCTGGTCCTCTTCCCCCAGGTCTTCTCATTCGCAACTGCACCATCACTGCCAATGCCGAGTGTGCCTGTCCCGACGGCTGGCAGTGCAGGGACAAGGAGTGCACCGAGTGTGATCCACCTTCAGACACTTTGCTAACCACTCAGCCATCTCAGGCCCTGGAGCCACACCTTCAGCCCACCCACTTACCTTATGTCAGTGGTAAGTCCCAGGCAACCCACTGTGCCATCATTTGGGGTAGAGGTGACACCCCAACCAGTACTCCCGCTCCTACCCCTGGATAAGGTCAGCCTGTTTCTGCCTTCCCATCCATCCAGGGCCTTTCAGGCCTTCAGATGTGCCCTGTGGGGTTCCCTGCTGCTGTTCATTCTGTCTCTGTTTTTCCAGAGATGCTGGAAGCCAGGACAGCTGGGCACAGGCAGACCCTGGCTGGCTTCAGGCAGCTGCCTGCCCCAACTCCCTCTACACACTGGCCAGGTGAGTTTTCTCCCTAATCCCCGCCAAGAGAAAGAATGCATACAGGAGGGGCCAGAAGGGAAGCCAGACAGAAAGCTCCTAGAAGTAGGAGTAAGAAGAGTGGAAAAAGCAGAGTCCAGCAATTAGGAGAGGACTTGGCCAATGGTGGGGGGTGGAAGAGAAGAGGTGGGGGACGGGGGAGAGGCAAGGTGACAGGAGGGCTGGGCTGAGGGAGCTGAGGGCTAGACTCTCCCCTAACCCCTGTGCGGCTCCTGTCTATCACAGCCCAAAGATCCCTGTGCAGCTCAGATTTTATTCGCATCCTTGTGATCTTCTCTGGAACGTTTCTTGTTTTTACCCTGGCTGGAGCCCTGTTCCTCCATCAACAAAGGAAATATAGATCAAGTAAGAAACCGAAATACAGGTCTCCAGCCCTTCCCTTGCACCACACCCCTACTGGCTCAACCCCACTGTCCATGCCTGGAATCTCACTGAAACCCACCAGCTCCATCTTCACCGGCCTCGGTCCTAAGCTTTCTCTCCCCTTAGCGGGCATGCTCCTGACACCCCTCCCCGTTGCCCATCTCTTCCTCCCTTCTCTCCCTGCCCCCACTGCGAGCCAAGACTCATTGGATCTCCTTCTGCAGACAAAGGAGAAAGTCCTGTGGAGCCTGCAGAGCCTTGTCCTTACAGCTGCCCCAGGGAGGAGGAGGGCAGCACCATCCCCATCCAGGAGGATTACCGAAAACCGGAGCCTACCTCCTCCCCCTGAGCCAGTGCCTTCAGGAGCTGCACTACCGCCCTGGCCTCCACCCCACACCGCCAACCATCCAGGGAGAGTGAGACCTGGCAGCCGCAACTGCAGCCCCATCCTCTTGTCAGGGCCTTTCATGTGTACACCTGTGACAGAGTGCGCCTTTTCGAGACTGGCAGGGACAAGGACAAATAACGGATGAGGTGGAGGGTGGGAAGCAGGAGGCCAGCCAGCTGCACCTGCGTTGCAGGAGGGCGGGGGCTCTGGTTGTAAAACACACTTCCTAATTCGAAAGGCTCACGTGCTACAAGACAGGCGAAATAAAGTGACAGATGACCACCCTGCAGCTCCCCAGCTTCCTCTCTAAAATTCCAGTCCCAAAACCCAGGCTCCTACTCGCCTCCTGGCTCAGGTTGGAATCTGGCAGAGGAGTCTTCTCAGCCGGTTGTATTGGGCCCTGCTCGAGGGTGGGGGTAAGAAAGGTCCCCAGGCTACTGGGAATCCTGTGTCTGACTTCGGATCCCCCTTTCCCACAGTGATAGCTCCACTTTCTTGGGATGGGTGGGGAGCAAAGGGTGCAGAAGTCAGGTCTTGAAATCACCTGGGAGTTTCTGGGTGAGGTGGGTGGAGACAAAGGAGAACAGCAAGCAGGGCCTGGCAGCTGCTGCAAACGGCTTCACCCAGAGACACAGGCGCCAGTGACGCTTGCTCTAAGTGAAAGTGAAAGAGAAGTCGGCAGCAGAGGGAACAGAAAAGAAACCCACAGGCCGCTGGCTGGCCAGGGGTGCTTGGAGAGCCCCCCTTCTCCCACCAGGCCTCGCAAGCGGGATAGGACTGCGGAGGAGGACAGTGGACGAGGAGGGGACTCGAGAGCAGCCTCCATGGGCACGGAGGAGGGCTTGTGCCTGCTGCTGTGCCTGGTTCTATCTGGAGCAGCAGAAACCAGTGAGTCAGGGAAGTCGGTGGAGAGCTGGCCGGGAGAAGAGCTAGTGAAGCGCCAGGGTGCTACCCTCCCCGAGATTCCAGAAGAGCAAAGGGGTCGGGGATGACCCAATCGCCTTCTAAGCCCAACAGGGGAAAGGCTCAGTGGCTGGCAACGGAAGGAACCAATAGTGTGTGAGGAGGGAGGCTGGACACGCCACAGGGAAAAGGATAGAGAGGGGCCGCCTCTGCGGCCACGGTCAGGAGCCACTGTCCTACGGAGAGGGCACTGGCCTGGTAGTTGATACTTCAGAAGAGGAGGGGACTCCCCAAGCCAGGAAATCACTTGGAAGGAGACCTTGAAGGCAGGGGAGGGGAAGGCTACCCATAATGGGAGAGAGCAGTGCAGGCTGTCAGTGCCCCAGCGACCCCAAGCGTTCAGTCTCCTCTCCCTGCTATGGCACTTGCTTTTTTTCTGAGAATTCTTTTGACTGAAAAGATAGCCTTTCATTCAAGAGTCAGAAATAAAAGCATAAACCCCTCTGAGCACGGCAAGTTTAGGACTTGAACCCATACCAAGAGGTATTTGGCTGTACTAGCAGGTGCTCTCCAGAAAGCTGGTTTGGGGGATGATAGGAGAATAGAGGGCCACAGAGACAGCTAGGGTCCTGGAGGGCAAGTTTTACCCTTTGATGATGCCACAGTTTGTTGGGGTGGGGAGAGCAAGTGTGGAGTAGCTTTCTGGGCAAGAAGGTGCTCACCCCAGCCTTTGTCTGCAGAGCCTCACACAGGAGAGAGGCAGTGGCGGGCAGTGGATGTGGTCCTAGACTGCTTCCTGGTGAAGGACGGTGGGCACCATACAGCTCTTGCCAGCAGTGAGAACAGAGGGAGGGCCTCCCTCGTGCTGAGGCAGGTGCCAGTGCCAGACGATGGCTCCCTGGAGGACTTCACCGATTTCCAAGGGGACATGCTGGCCCAAGATGACCCACCTGTTATCTTCAAGGCCTCAGGTAAAAGCCTTCCACCTATGTCCTTGGTCCTCCTGGGCTCCCTCCACCAGGACAGCCCAGGTTCCGATTACAGACACACACACACTGCTTCCTGTTGGCCCTGCTGTTGTCACTCCAACTTGCTCTCCATGTGTGCCCCTCTTCTCTCCAGTGGACCTGGTCCAGATTCCCCAGGCCGAGGCCTTGCTCCATGCTGACTGCAGCGGAAAGGAGGTGACCTGTGAGATCTCCCGCTACTTTCCCCAGACGAGAAAGGCCACTGTTGAGCCAACAGCTTGGTTCATGGCCAACGTGCAGGTCTCTGAAGAGGGACCGAGTATCTCCATGGTGATGAAGGCTCTCAGCGATGCTGAGAATGAGGCTTTCCAGCAACCGATGCTGAACTTCCCTCTGAACCCCCAGGGAACTGTGGGAACTGCAGGTAAGAAAATGAGAAGCAAGGCCGGGTGCGATGGCTCATGCCTGTAATCCAAGAACTTTGGGAGACCAAGCCCAGTGGATCACCTGAGGTCAAGAGTTCAAGACCAGCCTGGCCAACATGGTGAAACCTTATCTCTATTAATAACCAAAATTAGCCGGGTGTGGTGGCAGGTACCTGTAATCCCAGCAACTCGAGAGGCTGAGGCACGAGAAGTGCTTGAACCCAGAAGGTGGAGGTTGCAGTGAGCCAAGATCTTGCCACTGTACTCCAGCCTGGAAGGCTGAGCAAGATTCCCTCTCAAAAAAAACAAAACCCTTGAGTCCACAAGAAAATGCCTGGAAACCCCTATTTGAAGGTCCAAGCATAGAGACAACCTGTGTGTTATTTCCAAAATGGAGCTCATTCACCTCTCACTGGGATGCCATGCAGAAGTAAGACACATGATGCTATTCTGTTCATGGGTGCTGTCCACTGTAGTCTTATTGAGCCAAAACCCAGTTTTCTCCCAGTGAAAGGCTAGCCTGGTCTAGGGCTTCAGGAGTAAAGCTCAGGGATGCATCATTTGTTCATTGTCTTACTAGTAAACCCAGTACCTGTTCTCGCCAGCTCAGCACATCCTCAAGGGCACCAGAAATTGAGAACATGACGACAGGGTTCTACAGAGCCCATCAATCCAATACTCTGTGCCCCACTTTTTTGTGTCTCCAAGGAGAGACAACGAAGTCCAGAGAAAATTAGGGGGCAAACTTCCTATCCTTGGAAAACCCCAGAACACTCTAAGCTCTCTGTGGGCCAACCTAAATCTATCCTGCCACATTAGAAAAAACAGGTCTTCATGTCTGTCCGGTGTCTAGTATACTCCTGGTATGTGGAGATATTTCCCTCTTTTTATTTCAAACCTACAAAAAAAGGTGAAATAATATAATGAACACCCATATACCCTAAACCTAGATCCACCAATTGTTACTATTTTGCCACATTCTCTCTCTCTCTCTCTCTCTCTTTCCCCCCACAGCTCCGTGTGTGTGTGTATGTGTACATATGTGTGTATATGTGTGTGTGTGTATTTTCCTCTGAACTGAAAGTAAGCTGCAAAAGACAACACTTGAACCCCAAATGCTCCCATGCATAGCTGGTATGAGTTTACGGTCAAGGACAAGGACGTAATCCTTCATAGTCACAAACCATCATGTCAGAAACCAACCGAAGTGGGGGAGTAGTTTGCCCATGGTGCAGACAGTAAGGAAGTACAGTGTGTAAAGTATTTCAAAACAGGCCAGGTGCGGTGGCTCACACCTGTAATCCCAGCACTTTGGGAGGCTGAGGCGGGTGGATCACCTGAAGTCAGGAATTCAGGATCAGCCTGGCCAACATGGTGAAAACCCCTCTCTACTAAAAATATAAAAATTAGCCAGACATGGTGGCATGCGCCTGTAATCTCAGCTACATGAGAGGCTGAGGCAGGAGAATTGCTGGACCCCGGGAGGCGGAGGTTGCGGTGAGCCAAGATCACACCATTGCACTCCAGCCCAGGCAACAACAGAGAGTCCGTCTCAAAAAAAAAGAAATTCAGAATAATAAAATCAGCTAAAAGTCAAATGGCTTTATAGTGTCACCATCTCCCAACATCGGCAATTCTGAACAATGTCAGTGATAAAATACTCCTCCCTGTCTCCCCACACCACTGCCTAGTACGCCACTGATCATACTTTAAGATATTTTGAAATTGATACGATAATAGTCTCAACTATAAAGTCCCGGGCATGGTGGTGCAACCTGTAGTCCCAGCTGCTCAGGAGGCCAAGGCAAGAGGACTGCTTGAGCCCAGGAGTTTGAGTCCTGCCTGGAAACATAGGGAGACCCTGTCTCTTGTGCCTCAGTCTCCCAAGTAGCTGGGATTACAGGTGCCCACCACCACACCCAGCTAAATTTTTTTTTTTTTTAATAGAGTCTTGCTCTTTCATCAGGCTGAAGTGCAGTGGCAAGATCTTGGCTCACTGAAACCTCCACCTCCCAGGTTCAACAATTCTCCTGCCTCAGCCTCCCAAGTAGCTGGGACTACAGGTGCACACTAACACACCCAGCTAATTTTTGTATTTTTAGTAGAGATGGGGTTTCACCATGTTGACCAGGATAATCTCGATCTCTTGACCTTGTGATCTACCCACATCAGCCTCCCAAAGTGCTGGGATTACAGGCGTGCGTCACTGCACTTGGCATACCTGGCTAATTGTGTATTTTTAGTAGAGATGGGATTTTACCATATTGGCCAGGCTGGTCTTGATCTCAGGTGATCCACCCACCTTGGGCTCCCAAAGTGCGGGATTACAGGTGTGAGCCACCGTGCCTGGCTTGAGACCATCTCTTAAAAAAAAAAAAATTAATTAAATGTCTCCAAATTCAAATTTCTCTACTTGTCCCAATAATGTTTTTACTGCTTTCTTTTTCTAAGTACACAATTGAAACAAGAATCATGCACTGCATTTAGTTGTGCTGTTCCTTGTTTTAATCTAGAGCATTTTTCACAGAATTGACGTCTTTGAAGGGTCCAGGCTAGTGGTCTTGTAGAATATCCCACCATTTAGATTTGTCTGATCGTTTTCCTCATGACTGGATTTAGGTTAAGCATGTTTGGCACAGACACTACTACTACGTGCTTTTTAAACTCTTGTTCCTAGTCTTCACGGTATCCTTGCTTAAATAGGTGAGCTTCGTAACGCTAAGTGACTTGTCAAGGGTCACAGAGCCAGTACGTGGAACAACCAGGGTTTCAGAGCTCTTTCAGCTGTTCTAGTAGTTCTTACCTGAAGATTGATGGTAACTCTTAATTTTGCATGTGTATTTCCTGATGAGAGGTCCATAGCTTTCAGTAGATTATCCTAGGGGTGAGTGATCCCAAGATGGTAAAGGCTGCCATGGGTACCATGCTGCCTTTCTAGAGCCCCATTTCTTTGTGGTTCCATGTGATGGAAAATAAGCTCACCTGGCC